GAGAAAAAATGATAGCGCCGGGGCCTGCAGAGGGACGAGGGGCTCTATTTGGTTTTATATTCATGTTTATTATTATTTTTGATCTCATCGAGGGGCATAACTTCTACGAAGCCCCGTGAAGGACGCGCGCGAGCTTTTTGCGCGCAGCTGGATACGCGCTGGGGTCAGTTGGGAATCGTGTGCTGCGTAGACGCCCCCGGCGGCGCGGAGGACAGAGCTAGGCCTGCCCGGCACGGAGCGAGCGAGCGAGCGGGGCGCCCGGCCTTCCGGGAGGGTAAGTTCCCCGCCTCGGGCCCCCCTCCTCCCCAGGGAGCCCGACTTCGCAAGCTGGACTTGCCCCCAGCTTCGGGGTTCGATCCCGGCTTTCGCGCGCCCCCCCAGTCCCCAGGGTTCCCCAAAGCCTGGCCTGGCTCCAGGCCTGGTTCTTCTGGGGCTGGAGCGGCGGCAAAAAGTTCAGGAACGCGGTCAACTGAACCCCCCAAGGAGCTAATGAGGTCAGGCCCGCGGGGAGAGCGCGCAGTCGGTTCCAGCGCCGGATGCGGGCGCGCGGGCCCGCCGGGCTGCACACGCCGCTGCGTCCAGCAGGCAGAACCCGGGTCCCCGGTTTTCGGCCAGGCCCCAGTGGCTTCCTTGAGCTTCGCTTTCGTTTCCCAAGTTATATTCATCATTATCTTTTCCCCTAGTCCGAGCGAGGCCCGTGGGTGCAGCGGGTGCTGCCAGGTGGCCAAGTGCGCAACCCCAGGTCCTTAACCCAAAGCCTGGAGATGAGTTGCTATTTGACCTCTGGGCCGCGGTGGGCCGGAAACCGAGGCCTGGGCCCCGCTGGGGCTGCGAGGGGAAGGCGAAATCCTGAGCGAGGCCAGGCCCTTTCCACTGGGCTCCCTTCTCTCAAATCCCCGGTGCGGGCCCCAAAACCACCCCGCCAGACGCACAAAGGAGCCCGCAAGCTCGGCTTCCCAGGCCCACTTTCCCACACGCTCTGGAGGCCGCACCAGGGAGAGGGGAAAATGAAGACCAGCTAGATTTGAGAATCTTCTTGTGTCTCCCCCCCCCCAATCATTGGGCAGTAAACTGGAAAATCGGGCCACCACACGCGCCTTCCCTCCCTACCTCTGGGGCACTGATGTTTTCCCCAACCTGCTCCCAGCTCGGGTTTTCTCCCCCAATCTAGTTTCCTCCTCTCAGAATATTTTCCACCTTGATTTTTTATACAGCGGCGGGTAGGAGAACAGACGTTCCCCGTTTCAAAAAGTCAAAAACAAAACAGAGGCGAAGATCGACGGCTGTCGATCATTTTTTTTCTTTACCGTCGCCCGGTTTTTTGTAAGAAAAGCCACCGTTTCCCTTTCCTCTCGCAGGAGAACTCGCTGAGGAGTCCGCCCCCTTTCTGTTTCTGTCCCCATGTGTCCCCGCCTGACTCGGGTCCCCACTGAAGGAAGGAGCAAGGAGACGCGCGGGTCGGGGCTGGGAAAGTGGGTAAGGATCCGAACGACAATAGAAACGATGACAAAGCTAAACTTTGACCAACTCGTTTTTCTTTCGAAAGAGAGGGTCAGGCCGAGGGTGGGAATTTCCCTGGTTTCTCAGGGGGTCACTTTCCCTCCTGCCTAGTTAGATCTGGCTCTATTATATTTTTTCCAGGACCGCGGCATCTAACTTCCCCATGTCTCCTTCGCTTCCTAGCCCCCCCCCCACCTCCTCCTGACCGGATGTATTTGGAAGAATCCTGGCCGTTGAGGTTATTTTCATCCCCATTTATCTCCAATAGGTCCACCAATTATTATTGCCGCTGCTTGCTTTCACGTATCATCTACCTTGATGTTGTTTCCTGTGCTTTGGAAAATATTCTTCCCCACTCTCCCTGCCCCCCCCCCACACTTTGGTGGATGGGATTTTTGTCCTCTGGTCAGGGTCATGAAACGACAGATGGAAACGGAACAGGAACATCGTTCTGGAGGCCCAACTGAGCTATAGCAAGGCTAGAGGTCTGCAAGCTCCAGAAGGTGGTAGCCAGCCGGGCTTGGGATGCAAAGGGGCGCTTTTCTTGCTCCCTCCGATTTGGGGGTCCCCAGTGGGAGACAAGGCTGGGGGCCCTGCGCTGAGAGAGCCGGGAGCCCCCGCGTCCTATCCTGTGGGCTGTGCTGAGCTGAGAACTCCAGCCGGACCCGCCACCCGCCCAGGACCTATAGAGAGGCCTCTGGGTACAGTCGTGGCGTCTGCGTGGTCAGCAGATCCCCCCAGCCTCAGGGACGTGGGGGGAAAGGCACAGAATTCCAGGGCTGGGCCCCGGGAAGACAGAGGCTGGAGCGAGCGAATACCTCCAGGTCTAGGAGGCAGGCAGGGGGCCTGTCTGGAGACCCCCTCCCTCAACTGGAGGGTGCAATGGAAACTTGGGAGCCCGTTGCTCTCCGGGGCTCTAGAAAGACAGATTTTCTTTGGCAAAGGGAACGGTGTCGCCCTGTCGACACGGCAGACTATTTTTCTTGTTCCCTCATAAGGAGGGGTTGGGGGGGTAGAAAGAGAGCAAGAAAGAGAGGGAAATTAGATCCACACGTGTTAAGCTTGCTCAAAGGGCCGGATTCAAAACCAGAGATGAAACTCCGACTCCAGTTCTGGCTGCTCGCCGGCCTCTTTCCAGCCAGCCCCAGCCTCCCCGGGCCAGGCGTCCCCACCGGAGAGAACTCGATCTGATGTTTCATAAAGCGCTTTTTTTAAGGGGGTTGGGGGCCATGGTTCCTCTCTGTCTACACCGCAGAGTCGGGACTCAGAGCGGCAAAGAAAACAAAGGAGGCAGGAATGGCGAGGCTCTCTGCCCCCCTGTAGGAAAGCTCAGCCCCACATCTTCCCCGGGAACCCAAGGATTCAGGTTAACTTCGTGGCCAAAATGAGCCAGACGGGTGGTTTTGGAAATT